ATGTCTCAGCAGAAAGAAACCAAGATGTCTTGGCAACTGCATAGGCCTATATGTTTTGGGGGTTTTTTGTCACAAAAAAAATGCTTATGAAATAGAATAGCATTAAAGAGAAATCTTTGGCCTACTTTCTGAGAACTAACGAATATTTCATTAATATTTTCATTAACAGATGCAAAAACATGGTGTCTTAGTCCTATACTGTTTTATATGGACATCCTTAAAAGATCTACTGACAAGTGCATGATACAGTGTTTGATGGTACCATAACATTGAATGATATTGGACCACCATGGCATCCTGTTATTCCAAGGCTCTTCAGAGAGGCGGCCTACAATGGAATTGCCTTAGCAAGTAGGCTAAGCTACATATCCATCTCCAAAAAACATAGTTATTATATGGTACTTTTTTGTCAATTTTCTTTAGAATTCTCTCAAATTTCCCTCTTCTGCATTTTGAATATAAAACATTATCTTTTATTATAGATAATAAACATTCAAATTTAAATTTACGCAAATGTGTCCTCTATTTTTTACTCTGAAAATCTGTGAAGTTGTTGTGTCACAAATCTTCACTAGTAAGAGCCACTGACACTCTTTGAAATCTCTGCAAGGGGCGGGAACAAATTTGCCCATTTTGTGATGGGAGGTCCGACTAATTCATACTTACAATTTCAAAGAACCACATAATAAAAACACGATTCAGTGAATCGTTTACGCCGTGACGCAATAACATCACCACATGTTCACCGCGTGTTCATTTGACACTGGCGTGTATGTGTCTATGGCTGGCATTTACGAGCTAGACTTTTTAGAGTAGCCCTTGGCCAATTCTGTCATTTTACAGCTGTACTGTTTTTAATATGCACTGTCCTGGTAAATAAATAAATAATATACAAATAAAAACATTTGAGCATACTGCTGTTTATTGCCTACACCCCGATCCCCTCCCTCCCCCTGTTTGTCTATTTACATTTTTTTGGGTGAAAAAGGTCTTGCTCGTTGCAGTAAAATTCTATTTATTAAAACCAACGCGTTGAAGAAAAAAAAGATTCATTAAAGTAATACAACGCCGGTTAAATCGTCAATTCAATCCAATATGCAGTACTAGTCGTACATTTTCGCTCTTTGAAAACATGTGGGAAAGAAGTGCCTGTAAGTTGTTTTATTCGAGAACCTCGCGAGCCGATTCGAAGCGATTAGTCCCGTTTTGTGAACGTGTTCAACCGATTCATTGAAAAGATCCAACTCAAAAGAACCGAACTTGCATGTGATTTGCTTTGCTTTAGGATTCAGTGTCACTTGAGCTCTCGGCAGACATGTACCAACAGGTATTATATCAAAACATTCTCACATTTTGTGCTATAAATGTATTTTCGTACCTGGATAAATGACAATGCTATCAAGTACAAGTTTAATTTATCATATTAGTCGTTTTTCTGAATCGCGACCACGAGCGTCAAAGTGTAAGAGAATCCGTGTTTGCAATTAGCTTCAGACAGTTAACGTTCCGTTAAACATTAAACAACACTGAAACACGTTATTGTACATTCCTTGGACATTTATGGCAATTATATGAAAGCCACAATTTAAGATTTAATTGTTAAATTTCGGAGATTAGCATAAATCTGCAAGAATGATGATTGAATTATTAATTAACGCTTCAAATTATTACACAACCCTCTGGAATACTTGCTTCTCATTGGTCACTTACGTAAATCTGTGGTCTTTTGTTGAATGAACTATTGTTGTTACTGGCGACCGATTTCTTATATAACAGTCTATCTATTAAAATACATAAATTGACATGACAAAATCTCGAATAAATATTGTTTTGAGTTGAATTATTTAATTAAACAGAATGTTGCCTCTTGCCAATTACAAACAATTATTCCAGTGTAATAATTTGTAATAATTCATTATGCATGGGTCAAAATGTGTGTGGGTGGGCACGGACCATGCAGGATCTCTCCCCCCTGATGACGAGGGCCCTGATTTGCAATAATGACTGGCTGGTTGATCTTGTTTATGATCCCAACTGTAACGTTATGCGTCTAATGAAACGGTAGATCAAAAAGTTCAGGAATGTACAGTCTTTATTACTTTTTTTTTTTTGTTCCTAAAGTGTAATACAACGCTGCTTTACTTTTCTAATCCGTTCTTACTCTGTGTGTATTCTCAGATGTCATTTAAAGAGCTGGTGAAAGTGTTAGGGCTGGGAGCCGTAGCTTTCGTTCTGGGTGTGGAGTGGTTAGACTGGCTGACGCGGCGTCTGAGAGTCTCTCGCGGGCCCCTGAAAGAAGTTCTGTTCTTTCCTTCACCCCATGTCTGTGTCGAGCACCTGTTCACACGCCATAGACGTTTCCCCTGGTAGTTTGGTCCACTTTTTTCTAATCTAAATGTGTAATAATGTGTAAAACAACTCATTTCTCTTGCTTCTTTCGGCCCTCAGCGCATGTCCCCTCCCGCATGGCATTGAGACGTCCTTCTCCAGGCTCCTCGAGCATCTCCTGTCCGCACGTAGGTCACTGGACCTGTGTGTGTTCTCCTTCTCTCACATGGAGCTGAGTAGAGGGATTCTCCTCCTGCACAAACAGGGAGTCATTGTACGAGTCGTTACGGACAGAGACTACATGACCATCACTGGATCTCAGATCGGCACCCTTCGTAAGGCAGGTGTGTGTGTATTATTGCTGCTGCATTGCAAGTATGGACTTGCTACTGCTAATAATAGATACACAGACATGCTGACGTGAGCTTGTAAGATATACTGCTGCTACATGAATAGAAATGCATAAACCCCGTAGCAGATCATGGCAGGTGGAGCTGGGGAGGTAGAGGGGTTTAGAGAAACACTGATGGCTCGCTGCAGGACCAGTTTACAGCGAACACTGAACCAGACTTTTTAAATGTTGAGCAAATCTCATTAGCTTCAGGATCCGCAGAGGCCAATCAGCTTGTGCCGTGTATTGACTATTTAATTGCTTGCAGATTGCATGTAAAGGACCTATCAGACTGCTAGAAGATTATGTACACACAGACACATATACATACAGTATATGTGACCTGATCCAGCAAAATGAGTCACAGTGACCCAAATTTAAAAATTGAGATTTTGGTATTAATGGAAAGAGGAGACCATAAGCTTTCAATTGATATCCTAGTCAAAGTCATACCTTGAATGGTTGTAAAGATATACACATTTGAATTATGGTCGTCTGCCCTCTTTTTCAAATTGAAAACCTGAGAAAATCGCTTTTAAAGTTTTTTGCCCGTTTTTTGTTGATATCTTTCAAAATCCATTACATTTAAAGGGATAAACTATTTATTTTACAGCTTAATTTGACCAAAGACATTAATATATAAATGCTATTAAACCAGGCTGAAGCTCAAATTATTTTAAAGTTTTTATTTGAATAAATAATTTAACAGTAGGCCTACCTTTTACAAAAATGTACTAAAATCAGAAAGATTGAACAGAGGTGCTACATTGCTTGAGAGAGAGGGTGCGTGTGTGTGTGTGTGTGTGTGTGTGTGTGTGTGTGTGTGTGTGTGTGTGTGTGTGTGTGTGTGTGTGTGTGTGTGTGTGTGTGTCTCTCTGTGTGTGTGTGTGTGTGTGAGAGAGAGAGAGAGAGAGAGAGAGAGAGAGAGAGAGAGAGAGAGAGAGAGAGAGAGAGAGAGAGAGAGAGAGAGAGAGAGAGAGAGAGAGAGAGAGAGAGAGAGAGAGAGAGAAAGAGAAAGTGAGAGGCAGAGAGACAAGGAAACAGAGATCAAATAATGCTAGTCTATGCAATCTTATCTTAGTGTAGGCTAGTTGACAATAACATTGAACAAATTCATAACGGAGATACCAACAAATATTGGGTTAATCAAACACATTAATGGATTCTGCTTGCAGATAAATAGCTACACTCATTCACATTTGTCAATCACGTTATGTCAATCACGCGTGCACACTACGAAACTTTCATCCGTTATATAAAAACAATCGTAAGTTTTTCGCATCTTAGCAAACGGTGTTGAATGGTGTTTTGACAATTCGGAGCCACCGAATCAATACGAAAAAACGCATACGAAAAAAAACGCGGACTCAGTGTGCAATGGCCAGGGGGCTTGATGACGCTTTGGCAACTTTGCTCGCTTTTGACAGCGACATTTCTCAAATTAATAATATTTAATCTTTCTGAGGAGATCTGCTAGCTTGTTTATTACACAGAGCGCTCGCTGCGAGTCTGACAGGAGGGTGGCTGGACCAATCGCGTGCCGGTCAGTCGAAACGGCTTCCCATCGACAAATGATCAGCATTTGTGTACATTTCTAAGCTTTTTGATTGGTTCTATACAACGTGTAACACCATTTAAAGAGCAGAGATAAGGCTTGTTTGAGATGAGCAAAATCTGCGCAGAACCGATCACCGGTGATCAGCGCGAGATGCATGCCGGTTAGAAATGTGTCCGAGTGCGGTCCGCCTTGCTCTGATGTCATGCTGACGTGTGTCAAAAAACTCTCGCGACGGCAAGGCGCACGTGTCGGATTCTGCAGTCGCGCGCAGTTGCTCTCCACCGACTGCGCTGATCAAAAGCATGATGGGAAACGACTTGCTGACGGCACAGCTTAATGCTCATTGGTTTAAACAACCGTGATGTATTGTTCTCTTTAAAAATGTTTGATTTTAAAACTCTGATATCATGTTTTATGTGTATAAATTATGTGTGGATATTCCCAAACTCTCTGACAGTGCGATCTATGTGATGTAATTTTATTTTAATTTATTTAATAAAAACACATCTGTATTAAAGAAAAAATGATTGATAAACACGTAGGCCTATTTAAAATGGAATTAAATAAGTACTTTGGGTGTCTTGTTCATTATATTTATTTTCATAAAAAAGCAACAAAACTTAAATTACATCCAGTTTATTAGCAACACCGTGCACGAGCGTGAATCCCGTGAATCCCGCGAATCCCGCGATATCCGCCTTTGATCTCACAGGTGTCAGATCCACTGCGAGAAGCGAGATACCCGGCTTGCCTGCGCTTTCTTCACTCCTCCTCTCACTGCAGCCGCCTACTCTCGACTACATTTCAGGCGAGGCAAGGCGCATCTCAAACAAGCCTATTGTGACGTTTCAGGGGATACCTGGGAAATGCTCAGAGGTGACGAGAGGAGTTGAGAAAAGCAATGTTCATTTCCAGCGAATTTAGTAAAACTTTGTAAACTTTAATAGTAATTTAAATACCTTTACTCAATTATCTGGACTACGAAACTTTGGGAGATTATTTTTGAATGTCTGTTCTTTGAAATTAGCAAAAAAAAAAAAAATCTATTATTTCATTGTTTTTCCACATAATCGGCTCATATCTTAAAATAGAACGTTGTGACTTCCGACTCATTTCGCCAGATCGGGTCACATATGTGTTTGTGTGTAAATAATCTTCAAGCCAAAGAGTTTTTTTAGTCCTGAGCATTACTAAAAATTTAAACAACCACAGAAATGTCTCTGCCTTTTTAGAGTTTATTAATTTTCATTACTCTCCCAGGCTAAAAAAAATACATATTCCCTCATATTTCCAGGTTTTTAATGACTAAGTGAACCTCATTATTTTATTTAGCATTGGCCTGTCCTCACAACTGTGGAATGCAGTATGAAATTATTTATAGTCAGAACTTGTACGACTGTTGCAAAGTGGTAAAACTGTCATTCATACCTTGATTACAACAGCAGCACAGCTCGCACATGTTCTGTCTGGCTCAGCCTTTGTTATTTCAGTACACACACTGCTGTAACAAACTCTCACACCCAGGCAAACGCGGCCTGTGAAACTCACGGCCTGACGCATTAGTGCAGAATTAAAGGAGCTCTAGATGATTCACACACGGCGGGTTTGACAGATGTGTATAAATCGCATCTGTTGTTAATTTGCAAGTGGATTTGGAGCTAATTGATAGTTTCCCATCTGTTTGTTTTCACCTCTGTTCCAGGCATCTGTGTGAGGCACGAGATGAGCGCAGCTGTTCATATGCATCATAAGTTTGCATTAGTGGATGGCAAGAAATTGATCACTGGCTCCCTCAACTGGACCCTAACCGCAGTCCAGAGCAACAAAGAAAACGTCATGATTACAGAGGAGCCGGCGCTTGTACAGCCCTATCAGCAGGAGTTTCTGAGGCTGTGGGAGGCCAACGATCCGACCAATCACAAACCTCAAACCAAGTTGAAACCTAGTTTTGTGATTTCTGACTGACTGACTTGTTTTATGATTTTTTTTATTTTTTTTTAAATAGCAATTTTCATATTTGGTTCAATATGATTATTTATTTTTTTCAAAGATGTGCCCTAATTAAAAACTAGTTAAAATAAAATCTGCTCAAATAATCCATAGCTCTGCTTATAAACATCTTGGTGTGTAAAACAAGCTGAAACCTGTGTGTGTGTGTGTTTTATAGCCATGCTTTAGATTGCTCAATTCCTGATGGCGCTCGCCTTTGTGTTCCTCTTTTGTGACTAGGAGATTTTAGATAGGCTTGTTTCTGTACCTACTGTGTGTATCTGAATATCACATAAAATAATAAGTATCTTTAAATAAAAAAGATATAAAGAGACTTAATGTACTGAAGGATTTATTAAAAGGAATAATAATTTACTCTATTTGTGTTGGCTTGTAATTGAGTACAAGCAGCTCATAAATTGTTGATACTTTTACATTTGTATATATATATATATATATTGTTTAAATTGTTGCTTGCTTTAGTTGGGCTAGTATTTTGGAATATGCAAAAATGCTTTAATCACTAACATGATGCGATTTATGCTTGGTTTTAATAAAAAGAACATAAATTACATTGGTAATGTAAAAATACAAAACTGAAATGTAGGTTTTTTTTTAACTGAGGACTTTACCTCCTCATTTCAGAACACCACACCACTATATATATATAGCCTTATGACATGTTAAATAATAGACGTCTCCGTGATGTATGTGTGCTATCAGGGTATATGTGTGTGTGTATGTATAATATGATATATATATATATTAATGTGTGTGTAACATTATATATATATATATATATATATATATATATATATATATATATATATATATATATATATATATCACCTATGACATGTTAAAGTCTCCTTTTTCCCAAGTAAATTTATGTTTGTCAGTTGCCGTTATTTTGTATAGCCCGTGATGATTAAAAAGTGGAGAATGGACATTTGTTAGTCTATCAGCGTTAAATGATCTTTCTTATGTACATCGTGTAGATTCATAACAAAGCTTGTGGTAATAAACCTACAACTGTAGATCCTGCTACTTTTTTCACCACTTTTTGAGATTGCTAAGGGCAGCCGTTTGACAGAATGACCCGTATGTAAGTGGCAGATGATAATGCTGAGTGTGTCTGACTGACAGGAGACCTGTTGATTGGCTGCTCAGTGAGTTCAGCTGGACGCTCGCCAAGGCCACTTGCTGATCTGGGAACAGCCATCGCCCTTTCGACGAGCCGTCAGCACACACAAAAAAAAAACTGGTCGACAGCCAGGTCTCTGCAGACATCAAGCTTCTGGCTTTGCAACGCCCCTCTGAAGGGAAGGGAATACTCGGTTTTAAACCCGATAAGGCGAGTGAGTGAGTGGACCATTTCCAGTGTGTTTTGCTGGAAAAGTGAAACTGGATGTCCGGAACCAGCTGAGGAAACGCGCAACATCAACTTTATAGAGTAAAATAAACACCTCTAAGAAGCGACAAATAAGGTTAGTCACCATATTATGTTTGTGCCCGAAGGATACGCATTTTTCATTAATCGTTTGCAGTAGAGAGATATATGAAGATGTCCATATGGGAGCATGACTGGAACCGTTTCAAATATCTCTATTTCATTTTCAACCTCAGAATTGAGTTATTGATGACATGATCAAATTCATATTTTCTGAGTGTGTTAGCTGATGTTGTGTTTGACAGATCAGTAGATTTCATAGTTTTAGGGTGTGTGATATGCTGTTTGTGATCTAATCTAACTTGTCATTTAATCTTAATCTTAGCCTGCATGCGCAAAAGGGTTTCCATGTCATTTTATTTCAAATTGCAGTGGCACAACAGCATTGTGTTCATTCATGTGTGTAAGGTGTGTCATATCCTGGTAACTCCCTCTTCAGGTAATTTACAGGTGTTAATGTGATCACCTCTTTCTCATATGCTTGAGCAGGATGTTAATACTTGTTCAGTAAGGTCGTTTTTCTTATAAGGAAATGGGTGTTTATGGGAATAATTTAGGGTGAATTCAGGTTGATGGGGACACTTGTCCCAAGTCATCTCAATAGCAAAAAGTGTCCAAACCACCCTGAATTCACCGCATGTCATTCTTTACTCATCCTCATGTTCAAAAACTGTATGGTGTTGTTTTTGTCTGTGGAACAAAAATGTAAGGCTTTTCGAAGAGTCTTAACGTGTTTATGTCTGTCAGGCTCAAAAGGGGCCATAAAAAGACCATAAAATACCATAAAAGTAATCCTTAGGATTTAATAATTTGTATTTCAAGTCTCCTGAAGTGATATAACAAAGTTTTCTGTGACAAAGAGGCTGAAATTTAAGTAGTTATTCACAGAAAATCATCAGTCATACATACCAGTTTGTTGTTAACTTACTAGGTAAAACTATATTGAAAATCGTTTTTGTTAATTGAAATGAAGCTAAAATATAAAAATGATACAGGCCTAATATAAAAAAACTTAAAATTAACTTAAAAAATTTGAACTGAAAATGTGCAAGTTGAAGTACTAAAATGACTAAAACTGAAATAAATCTAATTGCTAAATGTCAATGTAAATCTAAATTAAAGCTAAATAGGACAAAAAACTAATAAAAAATGAAAAAAGCACAAAATTACTGAGCAAAAATAACATCTGAGTCAAATAACTGCATCATACATTATCACAGGATATACACAATAATGATAGAATCTGTATTTTCGGGTGAACTCTTTCCCCTATTCTTATTACGTGCTTCCCACTTTAAGCACTGGTTTCTGTCCAGAATGAATTGTGCTGAGCTGGTCTCTGCTGTTATGGCTCTGAATCAAGGAAAGATCCTCACTCAGCATGTCTGATGCGCAAAGAAAGAAAGAGAGAGATAGATGACAGTGCAAGAAGAATACTTTAACTACATGTCAGAGTATCAATGGGGCTTTAGATAATGCCAGGTACACACTGCACGATTTTAGCCCCGATTTTAAAGGGTTAGTTCACCCAAAAATGAAAATTCTGTCAGTAATTACTCGCCCTCATGTTGTTCCAACCCCGTAAGACCTTCGTTCATCTTCGGAACACGAATTAAGATATTTTTATGAAATCTGAGAGCTGGATCACTCCTCCATAGGCTTCTTCAGGGATTGAACTTGCCGGCCTCGAAAAGTTATTAAAGACATCGTTAAAATAGTCCAAGTGACTACAGTGGCTCAATCTTAAGTTTATCAAGCGACGAGAATACTTTTTGTGCGCAAAAACAAACAAAAATAACGACTTTATTTCAACTATTCATTTCCTTCTCTGTGGGCCTCGAGTCAGTTCACTAGTGTAATAGCGTAAGCTTCTGTTGTTGTACGTCACACGCATCACGCACATGACCAGCGTTGGCCAATAGTGAGCCTACGTGTGACGTAGCTCTACGGAATCACACTACGTTAACTGACTCGAGGCCCAAAGAGAAGGACATGAATAGTTGAAATAAAGTCGTTATTTTTGTTTGTTTTTGCGCACAAAGTATTCTCGTCGCTTGATAAACTTAAGATTGAGCCACTGTAGTCACTTGGACTATTTTAACGATGTCTTTAATAACTTTTCGAGGCCGGCAAGTTCAATCCCTGAAGAAGCCTATGGACTAGTATGGAGGAGTGATCCAGCTCTCAGATTTCATCAAAAATATCTTAATTCGTGTTCCGAAGATGAACGAAGGTCTTACGGGGTTGGAACAACATGAGGGCGAGTAATTACTGACAGAATTTTCATTTTTGGGTGAACTAACCCTTTAACTAGCCAACAGTTTTGTGGAAATTGTGATAAATGACCAAAATCAGAGGCAAATCAGCACTGGGTGAGTATTGGAATTAGCATTAAGCTAGTACAACCATTGTTTTGCTGCATCCGAAATCGAATACTTCCCTACTATATATAGCATGTGAAAAACAGTATGCCAACAGAGTAGTATGTCCGAATACATAGTATTCGAAAAACAGTAGGTAAAGAGTCCCCGAATGACGTAACTGATGCTGGAAGTCACATGATAATGATAAGTTGTAGTGACAAATTGGGTTCTCCCTGAAATCGGGTTTCCTTTAGGACCCCAAGCAATCCCATTGGTTTAAACTGCTTTTAATAGGTACTCTCTTAAGCGCCTGATTACAATTCCTCCAAAATCATGTTATGATAAATGCTGTTTCAACTACATTATAACGACCATTTATGTCTCTATTAGTTAGCTTATATACTAGGATAGCATACAGATAACCGGTTAGCCTGATAGCTTAGTTTAAATACACACATTTGCACCATATATTCTTAATCATCTTTAATGTAATTATGAGTTAAATTAAGGGTTAAATATCCAAATATTTCAGTTTCAAATAAAACTAATTAATGATGTTCAATTATTCACTTGATAGGCTGTTATTATTATTTAGTAATTAACAGTTAATCAAGTGTAAAAAATTACGTTCAATTAGTTTTATTATGCACTAATGTGTTTCCGTACGCATAATATAGTAAGCTAGGCGAATTCTAAATTAATATCATTCATATTTACTTGACGGTTTGGGTAGACCTGATTTCGAGGGAGGAACGGCTAGTTTCGTCTTCTCTATGACATCACGCACGTCGACGGCAAGCAACGATTGGTTGGGAAGAAATGTGTTGTCACATGTCCACGACACGAGTCAAGTGTTTAGGAGTTGAGATCGCATAATCTGACACTGTGACTATTGTAATTTTAAGGTGATCAGCTAACCTAGCTAGTTCTTTTTATTGTTGGCATTTTAATCCAATTTAAATGTTGTAAATGTTAGTGAGAAGAAAAATAAAAAACTTTTAGATATCAATCTGCATATGCAATGGACATTAGTTATGCTCGCGTCTTTGAAGGTATCTTTAGTAAAACGCCTCTATATTTAAGAAGCACATACAAAATACCTGAACCGGAAGCGATGGAACCTGTTTTACAAAATATGGATGTTTTTTGCACATAACTCCCATTACTTTAGTGACATCAGCGACAACTTGGTTACGGCCAATGAAATTTCAGGAGGAGGAGTCATAGACCTGCAACAAAGCATCAGCAAGCATGGCTTCTGCAAGCAACCAATCTCTTCTTCATATTCCTCTTATTCACTGCAAATCAGCACACAGACGACTTGGATTGCAAGCTTCTTGAGGGATACTGATTTTAACAGGAATAAATCCAGTCTCGCACGAGTTGTTTTACGTTATTTCCTGTGTCACTTCACTTCTTGGTTGTGAGTTTGTAGACCAGCATAAATGAGCAAAAGGGTCACCGCATTCTCAGGGCCCAACATATGAAGGTGGTTTTCTTCTGTTTAGATTTGCTGGAGGGTTAGAGAACCGTAATTCATTAAGCTTCATTGAAATTGGTGACGACATAGCTTGTCTCTCTTACATTTTGACTTTTCCTCCACTCCTCTAGATGGCGTCGGCCAACGATACCCGTAATCAGACGCAGGTGCAGAAGGATGTGGCCGATCAAAATTTTGACTACATGTTCAAGCTCCTCATCATTGGCAACAGCAGTGTTGGAAAAACTAGTTTTCTGTTCCGTTTCGCTGACGACTCCTTCACCTCTGCGTTCGTCAGCACGGTCGGCATCGACTTCAAAGTCAAAACGGTTTACCGTAAAGAGAAGCGAGTCAAACTCCAGATATGGGTGAGTGTGGAAGATGAGACATTAAAGTCGTTTATGTAGCTTGCATGAGGATGGTGGGTAGTGCCTATATATTTGTTCATTCAAAGTCTAGACAAAAAGTGGTGTGCATATTTTGAATTTGTTTTTTCTTCAGTGGTATATTATTGTGATATCAACTATTTTAGATGTACCTGCCCCTTTAAATGGCACATAAAAACAAAACAGACTGTTGCTGGATGCTTTAAACATTGATATGATATTTTTTTCTCTCTCTAAAGGCTCGTAAACACCGGGACGAATATCGGCGCGCGTTATTCGCCAGCGTTTTTCAACGTGTTTTTTGTGTACACACCCAAGCGATTTTCGCTGACGATGAGCCGAGTGGACATGCAAATTCATTCCCTGACATTAGATGGCGCCCATTTGCTCTGCAATAGTAATACCACTCAATAACATTCTCTTTTATTAAGATTTAGATGTAGTCGCTGTCGCGTTTGTCATATAGTTCTTTATGTTCCGACACCAACGAGACCAGCAGCTCTACATTCATCTCGCCTTGCATCTTCCTCGTCTTATTTCTTCCCGGCAGTGTAGACGCTACTTGGCGTATATCTTCTTCGCCGTTACCTATGTGTGCTCGGCAAGACCGTTTTGTGTTTGAGCGCCCCCAAGTTGTGTTTTACTGTAACTTCAGAAGCTCCAGACACGTGAGCAAAAGCGCCAATCTCATTGGTCGGATAGTTTTTGACGCGGCGCGTCAAACTAAAAAAACGAACCCGAGGCGTTTTTTAAAAAATTACGCTTTTACGCGTGGCGTTTTTCGCGTCCGTGTGCACACTCACATTGGCGCCCTTTGTTTAGTCACGAGACGTTAAACGTCGGCGAATATCACGCGCGAAATTCGTCCCGGTGTGAACAGGCCTTAAGTGTGCAGTTATTGGTCAGAATAAGCTTGGAAGTAGACCAGACTTCAATAGAGTGCATTAGTATCGCCCACTTTTTAGTGGCATTTATTGGAAGTCTTTTTCCCATAGGAGTTATGGTAACTTAAAAAGGCCAGTAGATGGCGATGTCACTTTGTAAAGAAACACTATAGACCCGCAAGCACATGACGTCACCTTTTTTTTATTATTACAAATTCGTGTTTTTGTAGTTTACACAAAGTTGATAACGGTATCGTTTTCAAAAACTTGCACTTTGAATCCCGTTTTCAAAAGTTTGCATTCTCAAACTCAAACAACGGCCAAAACGCATACAAAGTTTTTAGTTGAAAACGGTATCATATAAACGGCCCCTAAAAACTAGGATGGTAAAGGCCCGTTCACACCAAGGACGATAACTATAAAGATATCGCTCTAAAAAAATTCTCAATATTAAAGAATAGCAGAGTTCACAACACAGCTATAACGATAACGGAACAGAGAAACGATATCGATAGAATCACTTTCAGAACGATTCTATCCAGCTGATGAACGATAAAAACATTGACAGCCAATCAGAATCCATCCTGCTGTATCCAACGAGCTCGAGCATTTAAAGTGACAGAATAAACGCATTGAATAAACAGAACAAAATCGTCTGCTGGTGTGGACGCATGCTAATATAGTTATCGTCATGGTGTGAACGGGCCTTAAAGGCTTTAGTGAGGGCACAATCACATGAAGCATTGCAAATGACATAATTGAATTGAAAGACATAAATATAAAAAACTATTCATTTAAAGATGTTGATTGTGTATATAGAAACAACTAATTTTACCTTAATTTCAAAATATGTATACGGAGTGAGCGAGCACTAAAGAGTTTTTTTTGCGTGATTTGCTAATTAAAATTTTCTGCCTGTTTGAGATTTCTCTGCAGAATTATGGGTATTGTAGTTTTTCACCAGCAAATCCCACCATTATACATGATTATTTTAACAATAGGTTGAAATAATGTGGACTGATGAAAAAAATTGTATACCATCAATTAACTACCTCATATAGCTCACAGTAGGACTGTCTTTTTAAGTTATTGTTAAAAAAATAAATAAATTGGGATTTTTTCCTTCCGAAAACCGACTGTTGTGCTTTAGCCTGGCTATGTGAGTCTTTGGTGCAATGCTTTTAGTTGCCAGAGTTTAAATGCATGCAGTTTCATTGCAGGTATATTGGAAGAATAATGTCAGTTCTTTAAAATCTGGTATTATTCATATTTACAGTTTAAGCCAGAAAAGAAAGACTTGTTATTGCCAAAGTCGAATGCTGTGAAAAGAGGATCCACTGACCATGTGTCAGTATGACTTAGTAATACTTTGATCAAGATAATCTAAGTGGTTTGTGTGTGTGTGTGTGTGTGTGTGTGTGTGTGTGTGTGTGTGTGTGTGTGTGTGTGTGTGTGTGTGTGTGTGTGTGTGTGTGTGTGTGTGTGTGTGTGTGTGTGTGTGTGTGTGTGTGTGTGTGTGTGTGTGTGTGTGTGTGTGTGTGTGTGTGTGTGTGTGTGTGTGTGTGTGTCTGTGTGTGTCTGTGTGTGTCTGTGTGTGTCTGTGTGTGTCTGTGTGTGTCTGTGTGTGTCTGTGTCTGTGTCTGTGTCTGTGTGTGTGTGTGTGTGTGTGTGTGTGTGTGTGTGTGTCTGTGTGTGTCTGTGTGTGTCTGTGTGTGTCTGTGTCTGTGTCTGTGTCTGTGTCTGTGTGTGTGTGTGTGTGTGTGTGTGTGTGTGTGTGTGTGTGTGTGTGTGTGTGTGTGTGTGTGTCTGTGTGTGTGTGTGTGTGTGTGTGTGTGTGTGTGTGTGTGTGTGTGTGTGTGTGTGTGTGTGTGTGTGTGTGTGTGTGTGTGTGTGTGTGAGAGCAATGATGGTTAATGTTACAAAACATCCAGACCAACCCAAACCAGATGGCCCCCTGTGGGACACACACAAACAAACACACACACACAGGGCAAAATCCATTTTTTGAGGGAACCTTTAGAAAATAAAAGCCATAAAATCAAATTGGTTGTGCTTTTTGACCGTCCAGACCCGCATCCATCTGCCTTCTGCACTGAATCACTAATTGAATCAATACTGAGACAGGATGTTGGCCCAGTGCTGCCAAATAATGTTTTATGATCTGGTGTGTGTTTTCGTGGCTGCATAAGTGTTTTAAGTCTGTTTGTTAAATTCTGTAAATTCCTTTGTTTTGAAACAGTAATTTTAGATGTTATTGTTGTTGTTCGGCCGTTCACAGCCGCAGCCGTCCTCGACAGAGGAAGCGACAGTACTTTCTGTTGATGAAAGGAAGTGGGTGAGAACGTCTCAAGAGGTGTTAAGTAGCATTTTCCCAGAATGCACCTGTGTGCTGATAACCCACCATAGAACAACTCCAGTAATCTGAAATTCACTAGAATAGAGTGTAATCTAGTAACTTGATTTTTTACATTACATGTGCAAAACCTGTGGACACAATGCTAGGATTGTGGGTAAGTTGCTAGGACGTTACTGTGTGGTTGCTAGGGTTTTCTAGGTAGTTGCTAGGGGGTTGCTTGCTAGTCCAAGTTAGAGTCCACCATCAAGTCAGATGATATTCTGCCTCTTCAGGTATTAATTAAAATTTTTATAATACGGCAAGTGAAAATTGTAAGTATGATTGATTAGAAAAGCCGAAGGAAAATGATGTCATGGCGAGGCTGATGGCACAGTCCCAATTGTTGAATCATATTGCACTATTGCTTTAATCATACATTAGACCAGAGGTTCTCAACTGGGTTTGCTTCACGACGCATATTTTACATTGGATATCAAGTGGTGACCCAATGTGCTACCAAAAGTATTTACCGTACAAAAGTTAATTGAACAAAAATTGAACAGTATTTGCATTGCATTGCATAAAAATGTGATTAACTGAGAATTCATACTGTCTCGTCGCCGATTCAGCAGCCAATCAATCGCTTCTTACTATCTACTCTCGCATTTATTGGGCCCTCCTCCTCCTCCCCAGCACCACCTGTCTAGATCTGCTACAGGCTCTCTTTTGTCTTATCATATAACCTTAAGGTTTAGCAGAGCAAGTCTTCGTACTAGATCTAGTCTGCCAAAACTAAACCTACTTACATTTCTCATTCATAAAATGTGTGTAACAAACTACTCCGATGGTTATCAGGACTGAAATGTAGTTTTCTCCTCCCTTTTAAAAATTGATGCGCCCATTTATTTTTCTATCTTAATTATTAACTATATTGATATATATAGTTAGTTAGTAATATATATTGGTTAGTTGCATTTTATTATTTGCATTTAGCACTTTTCCCCCGGCTGTACCTGTAGAGAACCACTGCATTAAATCCTCTTTACTGGTTTCCATCTTCTGTCGCCAAGATCCCAGAGCGCAGTCCAAGCCTTGTGGTGTGTACATGTGTTTGTGTGTGTGTGTGTGGTGTATTTAGTGGGTGCGGAGGAGCAACATTAAGTGTTTGGAAATGTTTAGTTAATAATCAGTCATGTTTTATTGACTATATTTCTATAGCAGTGAGTAAGAAGTCAAATAATCAAATGGTGTTTGTATTGTTGTATCTCCATACATTATGTTTAGTAGACTTTCAATTACAATTTAGACATTCTAACTAACTATAAGTAACTTTACAACTACATGTCAACTAACACTCATTAGTATTTGTAAACTTTTAGGTTTAGTATAAGTTGTTGCAAAGTTACTTATAGTCAGCAGAATGTCTACTGGGGAGCATCAAAATAAAGTGTTAGCAGATATTAAGCAGACAGATCTACTAATACTCGAATGACTGGCAGTTGACAACATGACAGGTAGTTACTTATAGTTAGTAGAATGTCTAAAGTGGATTACCGAAATAAATTATCCATTTAACAGCCTAAATAATCTCATTCTTTCATGAACTTCAGGATACAGTTCAAAGTTCAGGTCAAGACCTCTGAGATGGAAAAGGCCTAAATCCTTATTTTAACAGGCAAGGCAAGTTTATTTATATAGCACATTTCATACACAATGGTAATTAAAAGTGCTTTACACAGAGGAAATTAAAATAATCAAAAGAAAAAATAAAATAAAATGCAGTACAAACAGCTTAGGGGTGTTTAAAACGAGCGTATTTTCATGCAATGTTAATTGTATATAATAGTTTGCCATAACATTCTGTAGTAGTCACCAAAAAAAACTTTTTTTTTAATTTATTTTTTATTATAAACTCTTGGGACACTAAAGTGTTTCATATATTTGTTGAAAGTACCGTATACAGTTTGTGCGTGTTCTCATTTGCATGTACTCTCTCTCTCTTGTTTACTTTAAGGAGGAGTTCATCATTTAAAGGCAAGGGCGAATGTAATTTGAGGCATTTCGCTATGAAGGAAGAGCAAATATTACGCATTACATAGGGTTAGTCATCACAGTGTTCTGTAGATTTAACTGCTGTATTGACACAGTCATGGACATTGAAGAATCATTTCCTGGCTTTAAAGGTTGCTTTCGGATCAGAATGAAGCATGTAAGATTGCATAGGCAGAAATGGTTCATTTGTCTTTGTTATAAAGTTAGTCGTCATCGCGTGTGTGTGTGTGTGTGTGTGTGTTGCAGCTAGCACATCTTATCTCTGTTGAAAGAAGGGGCTGAGGCTTTTGTTAAGCTCCCATTAGTTTGAACTCAGTTCTTCTCCTAAAGTACAATACGTGCATATATACAGCCCTCTAACAGCTGCCCAAACCAAGAGTTACCATGGGAACCTTCATAGGTGAGGTCACAGCATTCTAAATCAAGTCAAGGCTTTTCAGTATCATGGAAACTAATCAAACGTTGCCTAGTTACCAGATTAACATGGCCGTTAACCTCTAAACCCCCTGAGTTTGTTTCATTTGCATTGCATTTACTTGAATAATTAAGTTTCTTTTTTTTTTACTTGCACTTAGACATGCATTTTTAACAGAAATTATCAAATATTTAAGATATGTTTGAATTAATGGGGTAGTTCACCCAAAAAAACCCTAATTTACTCACCGTCAAGCCATCGTAGGTGTATATGACTATCTTCTTTCAGCCAAACACAATCGGAGTTTCCTATATTAAAAAAATATCTGGGCTCTTCCAAGCTTTATAATGGGAGTGAATAGTAACTGAGATTTTGAATCCCCAAAAAGCACATCCATCCATCATAAAGGTAAGCTTTGCTGCCAATATAAAATGATCATTTTCAATATCGCTGTGATTTTAAATGCTTTTTATTTGCCCATTAAGTTTACTAAAGATGTAATTAGAGTAGTTGTGTAAGTTTTACATACATTTTACATGTAATATAGTGTTTTATTAAAAATGTATATATGTGTGTGTATATATATATATATATATATATATGGCTTACGCCTTAAAAATGTAGTTGCACATAATTAATGGTGAAATATCCTATTTATTTTTAAGTCTGTCAGCACTCTACTGAAATATTACATTCTTCTAGCGAGAAATAACAGCAAACCAACCATAGAGAAAAATAACTCGTAAGGTTGACAGACTCAAAGCATGTAAAGCAATGGATGGTTTCTGCAATCCATATGGTTTCAGCTATTCAGTGTTTTGGGAAGTAATGCTTAGATGTGTTTAATGGCTATATTTAGGATGCTTGTATGTTGTTTCTCAGGACACAGCAGGGCAGGAGAGGTACCGAACCATAACCACAGCGTATTACAGAGGGGCCATGGGCTTTCTGCTAATGTATGACATTACTAACCTAGAATCCTTCTACGCCGTGCAGGACTGGTGAGTTTACTTTATTTATAGTCTTAGTAATAATAATTATTTTATTTAATACCAATCTGCTATGTCTCTAGGTAGTAACTCAAAGTGAGAGTGATTGAAATGTTGTGTGTTTCTTGTTGAAGTGCCACACATTTTATAACGGCCACAAAGAGGACACTCATGAGCATGTCAGTTCAAAAGTGTGTGTGTGTGTGTGTGTGTTTTTTTTTCAGGGCAACTCAGATTAAAACGTACTCGTGGGACAACGCTCAGGTGATTCTGGTGGGGAACAAATGTGATCTGGAGGACGACAGGCTGGTGGCCAGAGAGGACGGGCAAAGACTGGCTAATGAGCTAGGCATGTTACGCGACAAAAGAAAGCATTAGACACACACACACACCCACACAAGCCTGTATATAAAGACTTGAGCATGCAAGGGTCTAGAATTGACCTATCGGTAAGCCCCTCCCCTCGAACTCAGATGAGCCAATGGCAGTTTCAGTTGCGAGGGGCCGGACATCTTTAGGTTTCAGCGCCATAGAGAAACATCCAAAGCTCTCATCAGTTTTATGGTGTTTATGCTACAAAAATGGTAAAACCATGTGCCTAGGGTACTTGTAACACTGATTCCAGGTATCCTGAGAGGATGGGCATGGGTATTCATGTATTGAATCACCGTACTGTGCATGCGTTCGCCAGAGCGTTTAAAAGTATGATAAGATTTGCGCAGTAACCTCTGTTTGTTTGTCCGAGATAGTAACAGTAACTAAGGGGGGCGGGGCTTACCGATCGGGTCAGTTATGTTTTGTTTGCAATCCCTCCCAATCATGGGTGAATTTTACTGGCTGAAAAATAATTTCTAACTTGCTATGCCATTATGCATTATTTTTTATATAGCTGTAAATGCTGCTTTTATAATATGTACCTTTCTTGTCCTTTTGTAGTTCCAGTCCCCATCCACTTCCATTATATGACATTTAGTTGCATGGATATTCTGAAAAAACAAATACATTTTTCTTTTTTCACATAAAAAAGAAATCATACAGATTTGGAATGGCTTGTTAACTTGCATAATGACAGAATTGTATGTTTTGGAGGCGAACCATTTTAAAGCCAAGTTCTACTCTCCTTCGGTGCTTGGCGAGTGTTAATTTTGGACCCTGCGCAGGGCACGTCACCCTCTGAGTTTCCTCTGTGCTACACAGCCTTATTTGGACAGAAGAAAAGACAGGACGAAATGCTATGAATGATGCAGGCCTTTCAAAGTACCGAAAGCAAATGTGTTGCTCAGAGGGTGTATACTGACATTTATTGCTCAATAGATGTTAGATATGAGTTATGACATTATATGTAGTGGATGACTATTATAGATTGGATGGAGGATATAAAACACACACACATACATAACTGCAGTCATTTTTATGTTTCTAGCATGTTATATGTTTGGCAACAGTTCTTCTAACCCTAATTGATGGAGTGTGAAGCTTTTCATTTCTTAAACAAACATGATGAAAGACACATCATGTTCATATTCCAGGATGACAATGTCAAGATTCATCAGGCTCGGATCAAATCGGCTCCTCTTGAGTCCAGATCTTAAATTCATTGAAAGTCTTTGGGATGTGCTGGAGGAGACTTTACAGAGTGCTGGACTCTTGCATTGTCAATACAAGATCTTGACCAAAAATGTATGCATCTCTTGATGGAAATAAATGTTGTGATGTTATGAGGTACATCAGTTTTTGGTACACACTCCATCAATTAGCCAAACATATAACATGCTAGAAATAATAATCACTGCAATAATGATCCAATCATTGATTCTTAAGCATTTGCATTTAAATCCAAACAGCGAAGGGCAGTGTGTGTGTATATATAGTGTATATATATACAGTACATAAAATAAACACATTATACTTGCTGACATTGATTTTGTAACACTAGGTTAGTGAGTGACTAGAAGATCTAACGGCTGGATTTGCAGATGTTTGTTGGCATTTAATATTTATTAGATATGTAAAAAAATTGTTTAAATGATATAAAAGCTTATATCTGACAGTATATGGGGGAAAAAGTAGTATAGCATTTGCGTTTCGTTTATTTGAACTGTTGATGTCGGAATGAAACTGAATTTTTCTACAGTATTTCATCAAAAAATAAGAATAGTTCATTTTGATTTCATGGTGACTTTAAACAAAAGCACAAGCAGTAAACTAGTGAAGATGGAGAATGGGAAGCTCCTGTGCGTCTGTCAAAATAAAAGTCCCACATTAGATTCTTAAACGGCCAAACAGAAAACTTAATGCCAAATATCAGCTGGCCACTAATTATATGTGTAGAATGTTTTTATTCTGCTTGTAAAAATTATATTTTTAGATTAATAAACCATACAGTTTTATTCAAATCTGATTTTATTTCACATTTCATATTTTGTGTATAACTCGAGCTGTCTCCTCTTCTGTTTCTCTCTTTCTCTGCCGTCTGTTTGCAGGCTTCCAGTTTTTCGAGGCAAGTGCAAAGGATAACATTAACGTTAAGCAGGTGTTTGAGCGGCTGGTCGACATCATCTGCGACAAAATGAACGAGAGCTTGGACGGAGACCCCAGCATATTAACCAATCACAAAGGCCCAATTCTGCAAGACACGCCCCCTGATGGACAGAGCGGCTGTGGATGTTAATGATCCTCTCTCAACAAACACTCCATACTTGAAGGCAAACATTCACACACACATGCACACACTCCCTCTCTCTCTCTTACTCACACGTACACCAGAAGAAAAACTCTTTCAAGCCAATATATACCTAGTATGAAATGCCAACCAAGCAGTAAGAATCCAGCATAAGCCCTTTAAAATGAATAATCAACACTTCAGTTACATGAACAGGCCCCTCAGGGATTGAATGAAATGGGACGGGTTTCCCTTTGCGGGATGTGTGGCTGCTAATACACTGAACTGTGATGAGAAAAGCTGGGAAAACACTGCATGAAACCGCAGAGCAGGATTTAGAAATTCACATGCCAAAGTTTCAACCGTTTCAAACTACACCAGTGTCTGTTTACATCATGCTCAGAAAAAAATTGTCATTGTGAAGTAGCTTTGAAATGTATATGGATTATTTTAATGGATGCAAGGTTATGTTTTACTTTAATATAGGTGATGAAACATTTTAGGACTGCTCTGGAAATATCCAGTCAATATGATATTCAAACTTCATAGTTTTTGTTATTTGTTTAAAGTATGTCCTCAACTCATATTATATTTGTCTTTGGCATTTGCTTTGAATGCAATAAATTTGCTTCGCTGTGGACACTAAAAGAGACCCTGAAATTACTAATCACTTGATCCTGTGACTAAACCTGGATTCTAGTCAGTAAAGGGTCATGCTTAGGTCAGGAAAGTTAACTAAAGTCACACAAATGGTTGAAAATAGGTTACGAAAAGTTAATAATACACACACACACACACACTCCTGGGCCAAAAAAATAGCAAAATTTAAGCAAATATACTGTTTAAAAAGCCATTGCTGTCTCAGAAAAACATCAGACTAAATCAAGAATATGGGAAGTTGTGTGTGGAGCAATGAATCACAATGAAACAAGAGTTGCATGGTGATGCTCAAGAGCGGTGTCTTTGAAAATCTGCTGAGAAATAATAATAATAACTGTATCTCTACTGCATCTCTATCTCTCTGAAGCATCGAGGAAGATGTGTCATTTTTCAATAAGTCAATGCTCCTGCCCAAACTGCAAAGACAACCAAGAAGTGTCTTGAGAACGAGTCCATCATCAGACTCATGTTTTGTCTAGATCTGAATCCTATAGTGAATATTTGGTCTCACGTTAAACTCAAACGAACTGGGAGACGTTTTTCAACTACTCATGAACTTTTTTAATCCATCAGCATTGAGTGGAACAACACTGACTCTTCTTCCTGTAAAAAGCTGTCTGCAAGGTGAAGAAAGCTATTCTGTGCCAACTTACTTTATCTACAGTATTTGTGCAATTCTTGCTAATTTCCTGACCAGCGATTTGTGATTAAAAAGGTTAAAACCATTAAAAGACCACTGAATATTTTGCCTTGTTTGGCTTGTCCATTTTTTTCTTTTCCCAAACACAGACACACACGTTTGTATATATATATATATATATATATATATATACACACACAAACAACACACGTCATAACACATTAATAACAATAAAGCATATACACACACACACACACACATATATATATACATGTGTGTATATATATATATATTTCATTTTCAAATGACTTAGGCAATTATTTTAGGCAGGTGACGATATGTGTGTGTTTGTGTGTGTGTGTGTGTGTGTGTGTGTGTGTGTGTGTGTGTGTGTGTGTTATATATATATATATACCGGTATATATATATATATGTGTGTGTGTGTATATATATATATATGTATGTATGTGTGTGTATATATATGTGTGTATATGCTTTATTGTTATTAATTAAAAAAAATTGGACTCTTAAAATGTTTTTTTATTTAATCACATATCCAAAATACCAAACCAGGTAGCAACAAATGATGCATGTGTCCTTCAGTGTAGTTTGTGGTAGACTTTTCCCCTACACACCACACTTAAGTTTACCTGTGTCGTCTCCTGATCGATGTTTAATGATATTTATCCTCTAGCAGTTTGATTTTATTGAGATATTATGCAAGTGCATTATTTATTGTGCCTTAGGTGACCAAATACCTGTTGGGGCTCCTGTATATCTGTGTCTGCTTGCATGCGCAAATGTGAGAGATCACAGATACATGTCCTTCTGATGATCACTCCTAATAGTTCACATACATCAAGTAAATCATTTATTGTTTCACATTGACCAGATGAAGAATACAGTCCTTTTATCTACATTTGCTGTTGACCTGCCTGTTTTTGGGTTAAAGACGAAAAGGGTGTTTCTAGCATTTTTTTATAGCTACTACACCATAAAAAAGGTGGATTTAACAAATATTTAAGAGCAATAAATTCACTTTTCTGCAGCACCACACGGTCTTTAGGGTGCCATTTGATGATGTCACAGACTGTCGAATAACTATCTGCTTTTTATATGATTTTAGAATGGCTTCTTGATCCTGTTACAGTAAATGATCTCTTACAAACTGTATTTTGGGGACAAAAGTCCCTTGGTTATATAAATACTTTAAAAATAATAATAAGACATGGTCCTTTTAATATTACACAGCCAACACTTATGCCAAGAAAACAAATATAATTTTTAACTTGGTATTTTATAGTTGTATTTAAAGATGTAATTGAAAAATCAAAGTCCGGACCATTACGCTAAAACGTCCACAAAAGTTACTTGAAATATTAAAGTAGACACTTTACTTGCATTTAAAATTACTTTTGTAAATTTAATTTGATGCGGACATCAAAATGGTGACGTCTCGTCTTTGCCCCTCTTTCTTTAGTAGCCTACCTTTGTGGTTACTGTGAGTGCAACAGCATTTCCTTTGCATGAACCTTGTTCATTGTTGGTGGTGAGCACTTAACACTTCTAGGAGAAATGTGTGTTGGTGTGAAATGCATGGCATGAGAATAAAAACTCGATGAGGGTGGATGTGGTGAGAATGTTTAAGAGCTGCTGGAACAAACACATCTATTCTAGTATCATCTGGACCTGTTGGAGACTGCTGAAGATCCGTCGAGCCGCATCCCGTTGATGTGAGTATGTCTTTCTGTCTGTACAAAAAGTTTGGATCCTATAAGGTGAGAGTTCCCTTTTTTTTTCTTTTGTGTTAGAATTAGTTTCTGATGTGTAAAATCACTGAAGGACACTGATTGACTTCTCATGTCAATTACCCTAATGATGATCAGAAATCCCCCTTAGAAAATATAAAGAACACCAGGGGAATAGCTTAAAAAAGGTAAATGAGAGATAGTTCTGACTTGGGGTAAAGCTGAGCCGAACTGAAAATTAACAATTTGAATGTGCTAAACTAAACTATCAGATGTTCTTGTAAATTAGTTTCTGATTAATGGAGGGGAACTGAGATTTCTTATTCAACTATCAAACCTTAAAAGATGGCTGAATTGGTGCCAAGGAGGAAGAACTCTTGTAAAACATAATCACAGACTGAAATGTCAAAAGGAAGACAAAGGGCATGTGGCGAATACTGCTCCACTTACCCATCGCGACGTCCACACCAACGCCAGCCGACTCTGCGGTGGGCCTTTGTTTAGTAAAGTCACCATGACTGATTTAATAGAGTAAATGCACACTTGAGTTTTGTTTATTAACCAATTAGACTATAAAATGTAGATGTTAGAAAACCGCCAAAAATGACCCCAAAACACCCCAGATTTTGCCCAACCGCCCAGGATTGCCAGGTACCAGAAAAATGTCCAGCCCAAAACCGACTCAAACCCGCCCAAAAGGAATGAAAACTACTGGTGTGGGAATGCGGTTGTCACTCCTGTAAATAACCGTACTGTGTGTGAACGTGATCGTATGCGAATACAGGACAGTATTCTGCTGCTGTGTGAATGTACGGTAAATGTCATCTGGAGGCAATAACATGTGTGGTAGCAATACAAAATGTATCTAAAATGCAAAGGACTCGGCTAAATCTGTTGTAATAACATTCTATAATCGTTCTATCTGTGAAGGTTTCTAAACTTTAAAACAATTTTGACTGAACTGACACTTCTTTTTTTTTTTTTACCACAGACCAACAAAAACAAAATCATGAAGGTGACAGGGTGTTTAAAGCTGGCTTCCACCTTCTACTGCTTCCTCACTGTAAGTACGGTGGGAATTTAATGGTCGATTTAATGGAGAGACCATATTGGGGATATATTTTATATTTTTAAACAATATGGATGATGAATGAATGAAGACTTCTGAATAAACGATTTCTTTCTCTCTTTCACACACTGTAGATGAGTGGAGGTGCGACTGTAGGACTCGGTATATGGTCACAAATGAAGAGCAAGACTGACTTGTTTAAAACAGTTGATGTTGATACTCTTATCACGATCATGTCGATGGGCGGCCCGACGCTGATCGCTCTGGGGGGCGTCCTCGCTCTGATGGGTGTGATTGGTTGTTTGGGCACTCTGAAGAAAAAAAGATGGGTGCTCTTGGTCGTGAGTGTTTTAAAGTGTCAAGCCATTTTTCTGACTGACAATTTTAAGAAAAAAAAAGTATATTTGTCTTTTAATTTGTCTGTTCTTTTTCAGTTTTTCATCATTGTGCTCATCGTCTTCATCCTCCAGGCCACCATGGCAGTGTTTATCCTCCTCCCCAATTCTGTGGTGAGAGCAATATGAGACACAATTTTCAATGAAGGCTGGAAAAATTTTATATTGTGATTGTGAATCAAGGAGACAAACACATATTGTGTTTAAACACATACTGGGGGTTGTTATTTTGTATTTTTGTCATATTCCTTCCCGAAACCTAAAACCCAAGGGAAGAACGTACGCTAATGTTAGCTAGCTATTAATGCCAAAAACGAACTGTCTGTGAATGTTCTGGTAAACAAAAAAATGCATGGGCAACTGTCTTGTGTATTATGTTCCCATAAGGAACGTCTCTATTCAAATGCTTCATTTTCTCGTTAACAGAAAGAAAAGTCCTTGAGTGGCTTGAAGAGCAAACTCGTTACAAGCCTTCAGACCAACTATGATCAAGACTCGTCGATCACTAGCATTTGGAATAAAACTATGACCAAGGTAAGACACTCATACATGTCAGGCAGCTGTGTATCTTCTAAATTACAATGTTCATTTTTACAAATTTTAGCTGAAATGCTGTGGATACAAAGGCTATGATGACTTCACAAATTCCACCTTTGTAATGAAGAAGTTATTATATCCCCCACAATGCTGTGGTCAAGATTCACCATGTGAAAAAGATAAAGCTGCGATCGAGGTACTGCCTATCATGACCAATAACACAGCACAAAGAATACATTATTTTCACGAAACTCC